GCGGCACTGGTGCCTCGTGTCTGTCCTTCAGTGTTTCTGACTGAGAAAATAGCACTGGAAACTTCTTTCTCTTTTATGCTAATCACCTGCCCCTTCCTTCCAGACCCGACGTGAAGCCCGGGGAGGGAGTCCTTCCCCCCGGGGGCGCCAAGGGAGAGTACCTGCAGGCCAGGAGCTTCGGCGGACGAGGCGGGGACTGCGGCGCCGCCTTCCCCATGTGTCCACTCAACGGCACGCAGCTCATGGACACCGTCATGGCCTACCTGCCATGAGCTGCCTCCCACGTCCCCTCTCTGTACACAAAGTATTTTTTCTTTCTCTCTTACTTCTGAATTGCTATCAAAGGTGTCTTCTATATATATATATATATATATATATGTATATATATATATATATATATATATATATATATATATATATATATATATATATGCATATATATTATACATACATATATACATACATATCCATACACATGCACAATCAAACACACACACACACACACACACACATATATACACACACATAACCATATACACGCACAAACACACCCACACACACACATACACACACATATACACACACACACCCTTACACACACACACATATACACGCACAAACACACCCTTACACACACACACACACATACACACGGTTTCATAATTAATACTTTTTTATTATCTTTGTAATCATTGCTCTTCCTTTGTCGTTGAAAATATATTCATCATTGATATTCTTTCGTTGGCTATCATCAGAACTTTTTTCTTTCTTTTTTTTCTTGCTGCTGCTATTATTGTCATCATTTTTCTTTATTGATATTATCATTAATGTTATTTTCATAGTCAATCATTATAATTGAAGTTGCCAATATTGTCGTTTTCGTTAAAATCACCATTTTCATTATTATTCTCATTATTACAAATGCTATCAACTTAATCATTTTAGAATAATCGAGCCAAAAACATTTCAAGCTACACTCTTTATTATGCGAAGTCATGATCACTAACATATGTTACCTCCTCCCCCACTCCTCTCCTCCACCCCCTTCCCTTTTCCTGGCACTCCCCTTCCTCCCTTCCTCCCCACCTCCCTCCCTGTATCCCCCAATCTCTCCCTCACTCGCTTCCCCCCCCCCCCTCCCTCAATCCTTCACCCTTTTCTTCCTTTCCAATCCCCTTTCCCCATCATTCCCTCCCTCCCTCCTACCCCCCATGTCTCCCCCCCCATGTCTTTATGGAGCGCGTATTGTTGAATTTTCCTTGAAATTGTCAGCTAATGTGTTTTTCTCTGTTATGCTCTGAGGATAATTAAGAACAGGTGATGCTGATAAAAAGGTGAGGATGATAAAAATTAAATGAAGATACATTGAAGAAATAAGGAAATATAAGCCTTAATTTGAGTCTTGCATTCATTTCTTTCTTCTCTTCTCCTTCTATTCTTCTCCTCTTCGCCTCCCTTCTTCTCTCTATCCCCCCCCCCCTTCTCTCCAGTCCACTTCCTCCGTTAATGAAGTTTCTCGAGGTAACTTCCATATTTCCTTGTAATGAAGCATTAATAGGCAAGGGCGTCTTCACAACGAGGGCTGTATATAAGGGCCACGCGGTTTCTGGCTTGGCACAGTGCCCCCTCCGCCTTGTGGCTCCTCGGAACAGCACTCACCTCAGCGCTTTTAGCTTTCTTGTAACAAAGGTAAGGACTTCTGCTGTTGCACTCTTCGTTATCACTAATCTTGTTTCATTTATATTTTTATCTGTTATCACTTTTAATGACATGTCCTTTAAAAACTAGGTCTAATGCCGTAGATGGTCAGGACTCTCCATATTCCCACCTAACGAACCCGCCTCCCCAGGTCCCGCGGCAGCCATGACGACCACCGTCACGACCGGAGTGTTGGCAGGGACCGCAGGCGGCGCAGGACTCGCCGGTCTGGCCGTCGCAGGAGCTGTAGGTTTGGGTGTCCTGGGCGTGGCCGCCCTTGCCTCCAGAGGCGGAGGACGCAGGAATGGCGGGGGCAGGAGGAGGGGGCATCGCCGGGGGCGTCGCTCCACTGAGGACGACGCCGACGACTGGAGGATGCAGAACGCCCTCGAGTTGGTGCGCGCGGAGGACGTTACAGGATGCGGCATGAGGCTGGTGTGCGAACTGGCCAGCCAGGAGGAGGAGGATCTGGTACAGGAGGAGCTGGCCATCCTGGCACTGCTCGGGTGAGTGCCAGGCGTCCCTCCAAGGCGGCACTGGTGCCTTCGTGTCTGTCCTTCAGTGTTTCTGACTGAAAAATAGCACTGGAAACTTCTTTCTCTTTTATGCTAATCACCTGCCCCTTCCTTCCAGACCCGACGTGAAGCCCGGGGAGGGAGTCCTTCCCCCCGGGGGCGCCAAGGGAGAGTACCTGCAGGCCAGGAGCTTCGGCGGACGAGGCGGGGACTGCGGCGCCGCCTTCCCCATGTGTCCACTCAACGGCACGCAGCTCATGGACACCGTCATGGCCTACCTGCCATGAGCTGCCTCCCACGTCCCCTCTCTGTACACAAAGCATTTTTTTCTTTCTCTCTTACTTCTGAATTGCTATCAAAGGTGTCTTCTATATATATATATTTTTTTTTTTTTTTCTGAAAAAAAATCGGTGTGGCATAGATTGTAAAAGAAACAAATAAACAGTAAACTGGTTAGATGTGACATTTTATTTCCTTTTTTGAGTACATAGAATGCAATTATACTTCCATTCAAATACGCACGCGCACATTTATACATATACATACACACATACTTTGTATGTGTGTGTGTTTCTATCTATTTATTTCTCTCTCACTCTCACTTTCTCTCTCTAGATATATATACTGTATATATATATGTATGTATATATATATATATATATATATATATATATATATATATATATATATATATATATATATGTGTGTGTGTGTGTGTGTGTGTGTGTGTGTGTGTGCGTGTGTGTGTTTGTGTGTGTAATGTGTGCTAGTATAAATATTTATACTATTAAACATTACACATTTACTAAGAATTGTGCATTTATCACAATCAACTGTATTACATAAGATTCTGTCGTCTGTCTTAATCGGTCTTTCATGTAAAGTTTCCGGTCTTCTGATTTCTGAAGTTTCGACTTTATAGGTGATATTTTTCGGTCTTCTGTCTATTTTGATTTTCGGTCTTCTTCGTCATCTGTTAATGTTTTTTGTTTCGGTCTTCAGGGATATGATATGCCTTTGTATTCGTCTGTTTTTGTTGTTTTTTCGGTCTATCGGGTGACGTTTTTCGGGCTTATGACGTTTTGGTTCTATAGATGTTCAGACACGTGATAATTATTCGGTCTTTTTCGGTCCTTTTTCGGTCTTTTTTGTTTTGTTTAGTTTTTGGCCTTCTTCGTGTCGTTTTTAGGTCTTCCGGATGATGATAGTCTTTTGTTTTCTGGTGTTTCGGCTGCGGTGACTGAGTCTCGGGTCATATTTCTTCTTCATATTAAAAATGCTCTTTTCACTTTGTTTTCAACTTATTTTCTACAATTCTTCAAAGTCTGTGCACGTCACTGATGACGTTATTATTTATTGTCTATCTGGCTACGGCAGTCTTTTTAAACTAACCTACTTTTATACTACGAAATATCTTTTAGGATATTTTAACCGTGACATCGCAGACAGCCCTGACAATAAATCACCTTTTTTAGTCTTTCTCCGTTCCATTAATTCCTTCTGCCTCCTGACTCCATTAAAGGTACGTGTAATTATCGATTTCCGTTCCACTGATATTCTAAAAAGGAATCATATTTTACCTCATCAAAAGCATTTTCGTAATCTACATTATTTTCACCCACGAGCAAAACAAATATAACAGTATCATTTTGGATGAGTATAGGGTAACGTGGCATGATACCATAAGCATTCTCATTATTATCAATTCATCTATTATTGTGATTATCAGTAATGTGGCTCTTGGTTTCATTTTTGACATTGGTATTATTGTTATCATTAGGCTATAGAAAGTATATTATGTTAATGTCATTATTATCATTATATTTATCTGTTTATACAACTGATATTCTGTATAAATATCATCAATATTATTGTTATCACTGGGAAATGTAATTGAAATTTCATGTGTTAATATCATCATTATCACTGCCATATTAAAAAGATATATTCCTCTTGATATATTCCTCTTTGTCTCCCTTACCTTTATATATATATTACCTATTGATATTTTCTATTCCACTCTGTTTCTCGTTTATATTCCCTACCCTTGAATTTATTCCTTATTTCACTCTCTTCCTTTTGTCACTTAATTTCCCTTCCATCTCAGACACTCTATTTATACCCACTTCCTCGTTTCTCCCTTTTTCCTTCTTTCTACTCTTCCTCTAGGGCAAAAAGCTCCTGATGGTGCCCATGAGTTGGGTAGCGTTGAGGGGACACAAGGGGAAGGCAGAGGCACAGTCAGCCCCCTCCTCCCCCAGTGCCCTCGATGCTCTGTAGTCCCCTAAGGCATCTCGGGGCATTAGGCCTTCTCCAGGTCTCGTCGCTGGCCTGAGGTGAGGGAGAGAGGGTGAGAGGAAGAGAGAGAGAGAGAGAGAGAGAGAGAGAGAGAGAGAGAGAGAGAGAGAGAGAGAGAGAGAGAGAGAGAGAGAGAGCGAAAGAAAGAAAGAGAAAAGAAGAAAGAGAGAGAGAGAGAGAGAGAGAGAGCGAAAGAGAGAAAGAGAAAAGGAGAAAAAAGAGAGAGGAGAGAGAGAGAGAGAGAGAGAGAGAGAGAGAGAGAGAGAGAGAAAAGGAAAAAAAAGAGAGAGAGGAGAGAGAGAGAGAGAGAGAGAGAGAGAGAGAGAGAGAGAGAGAGAGAGAGAGAGAAGGAGAAGAAGAGTAAGGAAGATGGAAAGACAGGAAGAGTGGATGTAGAGGAATACGATACAAGAAAAAGAATAAAAAACATTATTAATTAAAATAATTAGGCCGTATTACGCAGTATATAACGTCTTCAAATGAAATCAA